CCATTATACCCCATAAAATCTACAGCCTCCCTTACATTGTCCTCTTACTTCTAGTTGTGTAAGATGTCCATAAAAGATGATGTAATTATCCAACAAATAATCATCCATGCACCTGTACATGAGTGTGAATATCAGTGGAGCATCAGCAAACTGGAGACACTTTCACTGGTCAGATGACAGTGACCAAAAGGAGAGGTCCTTCAAGAGGTGTTAGGTGAAGAAGAACTGCCTGTATGCACTGGCCACCTTAGGTGATTTAGAAGGGCAATGTTCCTCTATGCTACACAAACAGAACTTTCTAGCTTTGAAAGAAGGAGAGGTAGGACAAGGACTGGAAGTTTCCACTTGGAAAGATAGCTTGGAAAAGTTTCATCTGAAATAAGGGTACCCGGTATTAGGCAGGCAGTGGAAATTAGATTCAGGAATTGCATTGCCACAAGAGAAGGATGAGAAATAGAGCTATGTTTCTACAAAATTTGCATAAACTAAATATGGCTGGAAAACATTATCTTAACATTCTTCCATTGACTAGTGCTTTACAATCAGACATGAGAAAGCTTGTAATTTAGGGAGCCATTTTGGCAATCCTACAAACCCAATCTGTGTTGGTAATACAATGGCGAAGTATAAATTGTGGTTCACTACTGAACAGTTACTTTGGTGCTACATTTAGGTAGTTTAAAGTGATAATGCCTGGGACTGCCATGCTGTGTACCTTCAATATCACCCTCCAATTTGATCTAATTATAGCAGACATCTCAGGCTCAGTTTTGTTTAATGGTGATTTGAGTCAGTACATAGGTTTTACTCATATGAAATTGCTGCTTATTTGCATTCAGGTCTACTCTACATGTGATAATAGGATCAAATTAAGCAATCATAATGCACTATCAAGAGGAAAAATACTATAGAAATAAAAGCCCAAGGGGTCTATGTTGTATTGTTTCTCTTTTATATAATTCATAGACACTTTTGCAGTTGAAAATCTCATATAATCAGTGAAGAATCTGTCAATTTAAGGTGCTACTTTAAAACTTATTTGTCATCCTGGAGACTTTATCTGGCCATTGGTATTTCTTGTAGTGAGAAAAAGATGGGGAAAAGTTAACCTGTTAAATCCAAGGCAAGAATTATGGGCTTATATTTTTCGAACTGAAAATATATTTTATCATTTTCTTTTCAACCTGGGACTTTTCCCTCCTTCCCTCCTCTCCCCTCCCTTCCCCTTCCCTTCCCTCACCTGTTTTGAGTAAATAAGTAGATCTTATTCATTGAGTAAATTTTGCTCATTTACTAAAGGATATTAAAGTGAAAAATGCTTATTGACAGATTTTTTTTTTTATTATTTTCATTTTTTAAAATCTGAAGTAGATTTATTTCTTATACAGAAAATACCTTCTGCCAGCAGTCACCTTAATCTCACGTTTTTTGTGCTTCAGCAGTCTTTGGCACTGCTGTAATTATCACTTATTTTTTAATAAAGCAGTTTTATTTTGATGCAGAAATAAAGCCTAAGGGATGGCCAGAAACAAAGAAAGGTGGTTTGGAAATTGGCATGTATTTGCATCAAATGTTTGCAAGGAGTCATTTACATCGAGTTTTATTTTATTGAAGCGGGATGTATGAAGGCTTTTAGACTTTGAATTGTACACTGTAATTTGCCTTGCAAAGCAGAACTGTATATTCAGTGCATTTGAACTGTGTGGGAGATCATTACTTTGCAAGGTGAGAGCTTGCCAGTCATGGTGGTTACTTCCCACCCTGCATCTAAATCTATGACATGTAGTAGGAGTTTTCATTATGGCATATTTCCAAAACTGTCATATGTTTCTTTCATGAATAAGCAGGAATTGCACTCTGCATATTGACTATGTTTAGAGTTTGTTGGGCCACACTCAATGCTGTTGCTATGAAAACCTTTTAAAGCCATCTCAGTAATTACTTTTATTACTCATAAAACTGTTCCTGGCTCTTATATTCTGTGGAGGGTAGTGAACAGCTGCAAAGGAGCTTGAAGAGCCATTCAGAGTTGATTTTGGGGGTGAATGTGAATCCAGAGCATAAGCTGCAGGATGATTCACATGCTGAAGATGGTCCTCTTAGCAATGCCACAGATGCTGATGCTGCTTTGGATATTGACAGTGATGAGTAGTGTGTAATATCTGATAAAGATTAGACGTCTCAAAATCAAAACAAAGCTCTGGTACTGTAATCCCATGATACCAAAACACCATTTACAACCTGTGACAGTGAGATAATTGCCCTGGGTGTGGTTTCTATTTACTGGAATAAATGATGATAAATAGTGAATCTGGCTGGACTTTGACTGAGGGAAAATGGAATACTCATAGATATGTTTTTATATTATCACTGCTGTCAGAATATTGAAGAAGTGAATATCTATACATTTTTGTGTGATCTGCTAGCAAAACAGAGCCAGCTGGGTACAAGCAAACACACTATTACCTGGCTTCACTGTGACTCCCCCACTATATTTGTTCTCTCTGTCAATGTCTCTCATCCACAAAACCTATACCAGATCCTTTCCTTCTTCTGCCATCTCCCATATACATTATTATGTCATTTGTGACTTTTCCATAATTTAAGAATTTTCTCTTGACATGAAGATTGTATTATGATCTTAAGATGGATTTCTAAAGGAGAAAACATTGTTCACTGATTCCACTCTAATTATTAACTTGGTCAGTAACATCCATGTGAAATATTGGGAGATAAACCAAGAAATGTGATGCCCTTCCATCACTGTCCAGATGTCTCAAAAAAGCAGAGAACACTTCCTGTTGTCCTTTCTTGCAGCCACATCTGTATGACCAAGCTACTCCAGGTCATGTAACACACTACACTAGGAAGAAGAATCTTTCTGGGAGAACAGGAAGTAAAGTGAGGACATCTCTCTTTTTCCTTTACCATTCTTACATATTCTTAGCCCTTTCAGGTCATTTTAGGAGGGGTCTACAAGGAAGATGGTGCTGAGGAATGTGATAGAGAAACCCTTCGATACACCCAATACATAAGGAAAGCACATTTTTTCCTCATCATTATAGTGACAAATATAATTTGGATTGCAAGGCTGGGTGAGAAGCTCGTCCTTATTTCCTGCCTTCAGGACCTTTGTGTTGATCTTTATTTTCAATTGACTTATACAGTTGAGCAGTACATGAACCTGAGTTTATAGGGAGAGTATTGACATGACTTTGAAGTGGCGATTTAAATTTAAATTGCAAGAGTTGTCTTTGGCTCTAGGATAAGCACTGCATTTACAAAATTAAAAGTAAAAAAGAAAAAAAGCAAGACCTGTGTCCTTAAAAATACGTCCATATTTACCACAAAAGGGGAAGATGTACATTTGTCAAAGTAGTGTTAAATACAAGAAGTTGAGTTGGCAGGAGGAACATATTTGTTACGGCAGGCAAGATAAGGTATCCACTGTCTTTAACCAAGTAAATATTGACTGCTTATTAAAAATTCAACCATCTATCTTCATCCGATGTTCCACAGTCCTACAGTTCCAAATTTCTAGGTGATGAGTGACTGAAAAGGGATTCAGATAAGAGAAATTTTTTTAGGCTTTGTATATTTTCACTCTACAGGCTTTATTGGAGGCTGTCCCATCATAATTAAAGACAAACTGTTGTTCCTGTGCAAATCAAAATAAAAATGAATGTTTCCAATTAAAGGAATATAGATAGAAAAAAATGTTGCAGAGATGAAAGGGGAATATGAAAGAAAAGGGAAGAAGAAACTACTGTACTTTCACTTGTTTGGAGTGTAACAATTAGATGTGATGAATTGAAAAAGGAATCTGACTCTCAGGAACAAGCATTATAATCTGAGTAAATAGTAGAAATGGACCTGTTGAAACTGCCCAGGTTCCATTTTTTTTTTTTTCACAATACATTCCTGCTGACTCTCCACACCTCTTCTCCTGATTCTACTTTTGGTGTAGAAATTAGAAAACATTTCTTCTTGAGAAAACTTTTTCAGCTAAATTTTCAGTTTATGGCATCTTCTCTTTTCCCCCATAAAACTTTCCATTTTGAAGGCAAGGCAGCTACTTCACCAAAGAAAAAGTTGATTTCTTAGGATCATGGATTTTTTTTAATTTTTTTTTTAGCATTTGAATCCAAGTGAGTAATAAAGGGAAGAATAACATCCTTGAAGGCTTCAAATTGTACATTTTGCACAACCCTTCAGCCACTGCAGGGGTTGGAACATGCTGACCAAATTCAAGCATCAAAACACACTTCTCCTGTAGTAGTACAAATGGAGAAGTATATTGTTAAAATGAAAGGTGCCTCTTGTAGGATAAATCTCAATGTGTGTATTGCCACTAACTGAAACAATTATTTTTTTGTGTCTTTAATTGAAAACTCCTCTGAATTTTCTTATTATTGTAACTACTTCTGTGCCAGAGGACAGTGAGCAATTCACTGCACAATTCATATTAGTTTAGCCTGACTATACTTTTGTAATGCATTAATAGAATTAAATGCAGGTGCATTTGAAAAGTATCCTTGTTAAAGCCCCTGTTAATTTAATAGTTGCATTTCTCAGCACTAAGGAAGGAAAACTTTCATCATGACAGTTATTTGTATTGCCTAATTTGCTGTCACTTAGTGAGTTGACATGCCCATCTGAAGCCATTTCTGAAAGGCTTTTATATAAACAAAAGTAATTGTATGTAGATTTTATTTTATTTTATTTTATTTAAGAAGAAAATTATGATTTCAAAGTGTAGTTAGATGCTTAAAGAAGGTGAAGATACAATAGTATCTGAAAATGTTTTCATGTGCCTTTGAAAGGTTAGGTTAACATCCTCAGAAGGAACAATCTTTTCATAGAGAATCCAGTATTGTCCAGCAGAGAAGTATTTAGGGAAACTCACTGGTTTCTGCAAATTTGTTTGAAAAAATAATAAAGAGGTTTTTTTTTTTTCTGAGAAAGACTACTATACTTATTTATTTATTTATTTTTTTCAGATGGCATCCTGAATTATTCTTGAGAGTAGAAAGTTCATTTTTGAAGATGCTGATCTGGACTCACAAAGACAGTGGTTGTTGGTGCAATCTCTGTGCTGAACTTAAGTGCTCAGGTGATTGTCTGACTTGAGGGATCTCCTGGTATTGATAAGGTGCAAACATATATGTTCTGCAAACTGGAGAGTACCAGTACCAGGTACTTTATTCCTGTAAAACCGAGGTCTCTTGATATACCAGTGTGCTGGAGGGGATGAAAAAAATATTGCATGTCTGCATCCTAGTTTTTAAAATTCTCTTTTATTGTGTTAGGAGATGTTGTCCTTGCTCTGTGCACTGCTTCTGTGTTTTATTTTTTGCTGAACACATGCACAGCCAGGGATTAAGGGTTTAAGGTCCTGCCCTCCTCTTCAACTCCTGTAGCTAACTTGGGGTCTTTGTACCTTTGAAAGAGAGACAGAACAGAGGGTGGTGCTAACCACAGCCCACGTAGCTGCTGCAACAAAGGTGGCAGCATCCATGAAGATGAAGGTTTTGTTGTTGTTGTTGTTGTTTTTTTGTTTTGCACAACAACAGCTGTGCAAGACACACCAGAATCCCTTTGTTGTCAGCTCCTCTTCTTGACAGCCTGTGCCAAATAACAAAGACGTCAAAATAGAATGTTATTTTGTGAGGACAACCAGGTACTTGTAGAGGAATAAATTGCTATTTTACCTGCTGTTTAAGGCATATTAATAATACAGTAACTTTGATTTCTTAAACATTAACTAAAGGCTGTATTCAAAAACTGCCATTTTCAGTACATTTGCAATTGAATCACACTCCCTTCTCCCCTCCAAATTTTGTCTCTTAAATAAATCTTTTTTTTGTGGGATTGTTTGACAAGAATCAGATATCCTCCCACCCTTTGCCAATGTACACTGTATGGTTTAGGATTTTTTTCCTGGTTCTTCTTGTATTATTAATTTGAGTGTTTGACAAGTATACATCTGTTGACCTTTTATATGTATTTTTATTCATCTATTCATGGGCTCAGCACAGGTACTAATATCCATCATGTTCTGGCCTGAAGTTAAAGCTAAACTGACTTCTCTTGTGGGTTAGCAGGAAGAGAGATACCACTGATCACTTATTTAAATAAAACCTTTCTTTTCACCAATGTGAGTGCTATCTTCCAAAACTCAGACTCATCTAATCTTCAGTTGGCAGCAAATCTCGAGGACCTTACTATCTTGCAGGATGAGAGTGTGGAACAGGAAATTACCCATATCATATCATATTAATGATACTCCATCTCTTACAATGTCCCTTGAGGATCGCCTGAGTGCATAAATTGTCTTTTGCTATTTTGAACCTTAGTGCCAGAGTTGCTACAACATTGCTGTGTGTGCATTCAGTGACTTAGTTTTATGGCAATTTTTATTTTCCTTATCAAGGTTTCACAGCAGTGTGTCTCTGGATTTTTTGCTCTGTAACAGTTGGGTATCTTTATATGGACATAGCCCTTCAAAATTGTGAGATTGACTCAGGAGGACTGAATGAGCCAAGATTTTTTCATGCTGTTGTCTTCTGTTCCTGCTCTCTACTGAATGTATAGCTTTATGAGCATCAGAAAAGAGGCTTGCTTTCTGATGGTTTATTGCCTTGTTAGAAGCAACAGTTTAATGCTGCTTGGCAGTATAGTCAAAATTAAATTTTACAGCATATCAGAGAAGGAGAGACAGATTTCAGGAAGGGTGACGTCACTGTGGCTCTGCCACATCAGAACAGGGGAATCAAGCTGGGAAAAAAAGCACTGGAGCTTAGGAAAATGCCAAGAAGGGAGAGAAAATGGTATACAAGTGGTGAGTGGTGAGTGTGGAGGTGTCCAAGGTCTGATGATGTTGGAGGAAAATGGGTGAAGCCTATTCCCTGACCCTTCTAATCTCCAGCTATTCAGCCTAATTTTCATAGAATCACAGAGTCACAGAATAGATGAGGTTGGAAGGGACCTCTGAAGATCATCTAGTCCAAACTGCCTGCTGAGCAAGATTACCTAGATAGAGCACATTACACATTCCTTTGGAAGGACTCCATTCCTTCCTTCACTGCTTCTGCATTGCATAGCTGCCTCCTCCTCTCTGATATTTTTTTTTGCTTGTCCTCATCACAGCTTCTCCTTCCTCTCTACAAAAGCTTGGGCTGTTGCTATACAAGGTAAGAAACAGGCTTGTGGCAGAGTGCCTGGAAGATATGTGAATCAAATTTGCTGTTCTAGCTCTTGCTGACAGCTTTGGCCTCAGGGGCAGCGGTCTGTGTCCACAGCCATGACCCTTCCCATGTGTCAGGAGGGAAAGTGCCGAGGCCAAGATCATCTCCATGAGCTGGAGGTGGGGTGCATCTGTTAGGTCAGTCAGTCTCATCTCTGTACCTGGCAAGATCATGGAGCAGATCCTCCTGAAACTCTGCTAAGGCCCACAGAAAACAAGGAGGTGATTGGTGACAGCCAACATGGCTTCACTAAGGGCAGATCATCCCTGATAAATCTGGTGGCCTTCAACAGAGGGGCCAATACTGATTGGTCAATGGGGGAAGAGCAACTGATATCATCTGCCTGGACTTTTACAAAGCATTTGATACTGTCCCCATGCCCCCCATGATATCTTGTCTCTAAATTGGAGAGACATTTATTTAATGGGTGAACCACTTGGTGGGTAAACCATTATCTGAATGGTCACACTCAAAGAGTTGCAGTCAGCAACTCACTGTCCAGGCGATCAGTGACGATGGGTGTTCCTCTGGGGTCATAGGGCGCTGGGCGCTGTTCAGCATCTTTGTCAGTGAACTGGACAGTGAGATCAAGTGCACCATCAGCAAATTTACTGATGACTCCAAGCTGTCTGGTGCGGCTGACACACTGGAGAGAAGGGATGCAATCCAGAGGGACCTGGACAGGCTTGGGAGGGGGGATGGCATGAATCTCGTGAGGTTCAACAAGGGCAAGTACAAGGCCTTGCACCTGGACCAGAGCAATCCCAAAGACAGAAACAGGCTTGGTGGAAAATGGATTGACAGAAGCCCTGAGGAGAAAGACCTGAGGGTGTTGGTTGACAAGAAACTCAACAAGAGCCAGCAAGGTGTGCCTGCAGCCCAGAAAGCCAACTACATACTGTTCTGCACCAGAAGCAGCACAGCCAGCAGGGTGAGGGAGGGGATTGTCCCCCTCTGCTCTGCTCTCATCAGACACCACCTGGAGCACTGTGTTCATCCCTGGGGCCCTCAGCAGAAGAAGGACACGGAAGTATTAGAGCAAGTCCAGAGGAGGGCCACAAGGATGATCAAAGAGCTGGAGCACCTCTCCTACAAAGACAGGCTGAGGGAGTTGGGGTTGTTCAGCCTGGAGAAGAGAATGCTCCAGGGAAACCTTATAGCAGCCTTCCAATACCTGAAGGGGACTTACAGGAAAGTTGGGGAGGGATTTTTTCTCAGGAAGGGTAGAGACAGGACAAGGGGTAACAGCTTTAATCTAAGAAAGACTAGATTTCAATTAGCTATTCAGAAAACATTCTTCGTTAGGAGGATGCTGAGGCACTGGCACAGGCTGCCCAGAGAAGCTGTTGATGCCCCATCCCTGGAAGTTTTCAAGGCCAGGCTGGATGGGACTTTGTGCGACCTGGTCTGGTGGGAGGTGTCCTTGCCCATGGCAGGGAGCTTGTACCCAGATGATCCTTAATGTCCCTTCCAACCCAAACCATTCAATGATTCTATGTCAAGTGGCATTTTTGACTCAGTAAGATCTCATGACCACTAGCATAGGCAGAATGATCAGGAGCTTGGTGATGGCTGGGTTTTTGAGTGTCTTTGTTAGTCCAATACCTGTGTGGAAAATGGCAGCTTGGTGTGTGCCTGTGCCCTGTGTGAGTCTGGTTGTCTTCGATATCATATAACCATACTTATGTGCTGTTTTCCCTCAGAATCCTATTTTTGTTCTGCATGAAACATGACTGGAAACTTCACCTTGAGAACCTTCCATCAAAACCAGAGTAAGTCAGGCAAAGTGTTCAAGCACTAATCGGGTGCAGTGGAAGGCACAAGGCACAACATGACCATCTCATAAGAACAGCTAACTCCAATCAAATCAGTGATTCAATTATCCCAGTGTCCTGCCTCCAACTGCTGCCAAAAACAGGCGTCTGGGGAAGGAGGTAAGAATAGAAAGAGCATTTAATGACAATTTCCCAAGATACTTTTGCAGCCTCTGGCAATTTGCAATTGCTCTTGTTTCCCTATGGAACCCAACTAAAATCTGTCAGTCTCAGATTTCATTACTGTGAGACGTGAAGTCAGCCTTCTCAGTGTGAACTGTTAAACACCTGAAGTGCAGAGCAAGAGGAGCTCGTGCAAGACCTCAGGTTCTGCATCTGTGAAATATAGCCTGCAAAGGAACCCTAAATGGCAGTGGAAGCTGGGCAGGGGTCTGGAGTAATGACATGGTACAGACACTCCCATACTTTTCCTCTCAGGATGAAAATGAAGACAGCAGTATTCAACCTGGTGGGGTGGGATTATTCTCAGAGACTGTCTTCAGCATAAAGAGAAAAGAGTGAGAGAAGATTGCATTTGTAGATCTCTGGTGATGAGTTACACAGAGTTACATGGTAATTCTATAATCAATATAGAGTTACATGGTAACCAAGTAAAAAGAATATGATTGTAGATAGACTTTTCTTGGAAGGTATAAGCATCTTTTATGCAGTGAGTAAGAAGGGTCAAGAAATATTTTATAGACTTTATATGGTAAATACATATTGTCCAGTTAAGTTGCTAGTAGACTAAATGTTCTGCTACTCCATTGCAGATGTTGAAATAACCGTAAGAAATAAACACAAATGTATTTGGGACATTAAGTTTTAGGCAACTGATGTTGCATTGCATATAAAATGACAAAATATGCCAAAGCACAACCAAATAAAGTTAAATATGCATATGCTGATATAGGTAAGACATTATCTAATTTTAGTGTTTCTTTGTTCTGTACAGTGAATTCCAAATATTCTTTAAAATCTATATTGATCTCTTCATCACACATAAAGAATGAAACTTTTAAAGTTTAGGAAATGTTTTTAGAAATGCTGTTGTTTCTGGCTGCAGCTAGGTTTTTCCAAAGTGAAAACTTATATTTGGTTTGCTGAATCTTGAAAGTTATAGGCAGTTTTCCATGCACCAGTTATATTTACTAAGTTCTGAATTGTTTTAGGTGTTAATAAGTACATTGTTGGCAGTCTTTGACATTACGATGCACCTACTGAGAGAGATTTCCTTAGTAAGGTGTCTTACACTTTTAATTTTTCTCCCCCAGTGGTGCTATTTTGATTGACATTGAATAAGGATTCAGTTCTAAATTTACACAGTTGCCTTCACACACAGGAAATGACCAAACAACTTAGGAAAGTAAATGCAGATAACTATTAAAATAGAGGATCTAGTTTTCCAATTTTTGAGGGAGACTGGGAGCAATGATACAAAACTCAATAGTTATAATGATGTAAAATTATCAGAATTAGGATATGAATTTGCTTTATTGAATTTTATTTTGTTTTTGTATCAGATTTGGGAAATTAAAGATGATAGTAGATGCCTAATTTCTGGATAAATCAAATCAGTTGTGTTTCTCTGATTACTCAACTATTGATTTATTTTACCTTATCTGGTTTATACCAAATTCTCTCTACTACCTCAAGGACAAATTTCTATTAATTTTTAAATTCTTGTTCAGACAGATGAGAGTGAGAGTTTTAAGATTTTTCAAGGGCTATGATATTGCCCTAAAACCTGAAAAAGAGACCTGAAAGAGAGACAATATTAACCATCCATCCATTAGATAAAATTATAGCAGTGCTGTGTTTTTTATTTTTCCCCTTTCTTTTGTATTTTCAGGGATGGAAGTGAAGAGGCACTGTCTAAAGCAAACAAATCATATCTTCATGAACAAAAGCTTGTATTTTTCACTGGGCAAAAGTTGGAAGTTCTGTCTTCAAGTGAAAAGACTTTTTTTTGACATTGGCAATATTTCCCCATTTGAATTTTCATTTTTCTAATCCCAATTTTATGTAGATAAACAGTTTTAAAAGATCACTTAACATTCATCTCTTTTCCTATAATATGCAAAACAAAAGCTGCTGAAAACAATTTTGTTTGGACAGATATCCCTTCCCTTCCCTTCCCTTCCCTTCCCTTCCCTTCCCTTCCCTTCCCTTCCCTTCCCTTCCCTTCCCTTCCCTTCCCTTCCCTTCCCTTCCCTTCCCTTCCCTTCCCTTCCCTTCCCTTCCCTTCCCTTCCCTTCCCTTCCCTTCCCTTCCCTTCCCTTCCCTTCCCTTCCCTTCCCTTCCCTTCCCTTCCCTTCCCTTCCCTTCCCTTCCCTTCCCTTCCCTTCCCTTCCCTTCCCTTCCCTTCCCTTCCCTATTTTGTCTCTACCTGTCATGGTGAAAGCAAGACTAATACAGTGAAGGAACTCTATGGAACTCCATATTAGCATGCTAGTTATTCTCATATAAAGGAAGCAAATGCCAGTCAGTCTGTGATAAATTCAAAGAATGTCTTCTATGATCAGGAAAGCAATGCTTTTTTTTTTTTTTTTTTCCTGTCTCACTTATTCAGAGTGTATCTGGAGTAATGCATTTGGTGTTAGTGTCTGTGACATGGAAAGCACTTAGGGAGACTAGAGGCTTAGCAGAAAGCTTAAAGAGTTTGAAGAACTGCTGACTATAGAAAAGAAAGATTTATATGTGCAGAATTTGCTGCATACTAAATTGTGTACATCCACTTGAGTACATTTACTTTCCTCATTCCTATTATTATTTTACAGAGCTATTGATCATTAGAAAACAAGCTGCTCAAGCACATCTACTCCTTCCTTTTACGTGATTTTACTTCTGTAGAGAGAGGTCCTGATATCAAATTTTTTATTTCCATGGAAAATGTGTGATCTAGCCCTTCTCTTTAGTGGATTAGTCAAATGCATCCAGAGGTTTGGAAAATTGTGAAATATATGTCTGATTTAACTGGTTTATCTGTCTTCAATTTCTGTTTCTATCCAGTTAGTGTCTCATGTAGAAATACTCCCTCGCACCTCTCATGATTATTTTTGAAGTCCAGACAGCTATTTGTCTTTTCATGCCTAGTTCATTACAGTGTAACTCTACTGGATTTTGATGTTCCACTTGGCTTATGCAAATAATTATCTGATATTTAATAAAACTGAAATCAAAATGGGCTCTCAGAGAAGGAAAAGGGTAACTGCCCTGGAGTTCCCAGGCTCATACTCTGTGGCTGGTGACAACAACATTGTGTCATTACATTGACTTCTCTGAGCTTTGGTAATAAGAGTGAATTGCTTTTGTTTCTCAAAGACCTTATTTACTCTAACATATCCTGAATGCTAATGCTTCCCTCTTCTTCCTCTTTTTTTTCTTTCTTTTTTTTTTTTTCTCTACACTACTTTTCTCCCTTCTGTGTTATGCAATTTAATTATATGCAGACCTTGAATGTCATTTTCTAATCCTTTGTGGTTCATTTGAAAGTCTTGTAAAATACAACTAATTGGTGTGTTCATTAAAATGTCAGAAATATTTTTGAGTTCAATTAGATAGTATAGCAGTTTTATCCAAAGTGTGCTTATAGTACAATAACTATGTCAGGAGGATGTAATTAACAGCCATTTAAATGAACAATTGTCTTAAATTTTTCTGGTTCTTCATGCATGATAACTTAATCAAACAGCAAAGTTCTTATAGGCTTACCCATTTGAGAGAAAGGTGAAACACTATAAACTTGTATTTAAAAAGTCAAATTGAAAGCTGTAAAACTACTGAACTAAAGAAGTCAACTCTATAAAAATGCAATGCAGAAATATACTTTACTTCAACGTCAGCACATTAAAGCTAAAATCCCACCAGAAGAGGAGATCTAAGGCATGGCCACCAATTTCTGGGAAAGGCTAACATTTGAATGGAATGAAGGTCAAAGGTCAGAATCTACCAATGTAATCCATAGTTGTGCTTGCATGACAATATTTAAGACATTGGGGTCTTCTCCTCTATTTGGCTCTTATTTTGACATTAAATATTATTCACTTTTCAGTGAAGACTGTGTCTTCATGTGTAGTTCTGGCTTTGGTGATCTTAATTCTAATTGTGCAAAAGATGTTTATTACCTAAACCACTCTTTGCTGGGTTAAAAAATGGCTGGATGGCTAGGCCCAGAGACTAGTGGTGAATGGAGTGAAATCCAGCTGGCTACTGGTCACCAGTGGTATTCACTAGCGGTCAGTGTTGGGGCCCATTCTCTTTAATATCTTTATTGATGACTTGGGTGAGGGAATTGAGTGCACCCTCAGTAAGTTTGCAGACAACACTAAGATGGGGGGACGTGTTGATCTGCCGGAGGGTAGGAAGGCCCTGCAGAGGGGCCTGGACAGGATGGGTCAATGGGCAGAGGCCAGTGGGATGAGGTTCAACATGGCTAAGTGCCAGCTCCTGCACTTTGGTCACAACAACTCCATGCAGCAGTGCTACAGGCTTGAGGTAGAGAGGCTGGAAAGCTGTGCAGAGGAAAAGGATCTGGGGGTGCTGGTTGATGCTCACCTGCCCAGGTGGTCAAGAAGGCCAACAGCATCCTGGCTTGTATCAGGAATAGTGCAGCCAGCAGGATGAGGGAGGTGATTGTTCCCCTGTACTCAGCTCTGGTGGTGCTGCACCTCGAGTACTGTGTTCAGTTTTGGGCCCCTCACTACAACAAGGACATCGAAGCCCTGGAACGTGTCCAGAGAAGGGCTATGAAGCAGGTGAAGGGCCTGGAACACAAGTCCTCTGAGGAGTGGCTGAGGGAACTGGGGTTGTTTAGTCTGGAGAAGAGGAGGCTCAGAGAAGACGTAATTGCTTTCTACAACTGCCTGAAAGGAAGGTGTGGGGAGATGGAGGTCAGCCTCTTCTCACAGATAACTAGTGATAGGATTAGAGGAAATGGCCTCAAGTTGTGCCAGGAGAGGTTTAGGTTAGAAATGAGGAGACATTTCTTTTCAGAAAGAAAAGTCAGGCATCAGAACAGGTTGCCCAGGGAGGTGGTGGATCTGGGGGTGTTCAAGGAAAGGTTGGATGTTGTGCTTAGGGACATGGTGTAAAGGTTGACATTGGTGGTAGGGTGATGGTTGGACCAGATGATTCAATGATTCTATGATTCTAATGTATTAGACAGGATTAGTCCTAATGGTCCTAGTGGGTAAGGAGATCATGGCTTCCAAAAAGGCTTACAATACAATTTATTTATTTATTTATTTATTTGAAATTCAGGATCACACTGAGTAATATCATATATGTTTAAAAAAAGATCCTGAAATTGTTTGGTGCTATTTATATTATATATTCTCATCCAAATATGCCAGTTCATCAAAATAGACTTTCTGTGGCAAAATCTGCTTTTGAATATCTTTAATGATATTGTTTTACATTTCAGAATCACTTGAAAATATTTGAAAAAAATAACACACATCTTCCTGATTCACTTATGCTTTTGTTCTAAAGTATAAGCTCATTTTAGTTCATGTACGAGAAGTATATGAAAGAAGGTTCACACTAAAACAAAACCTTTCACTTGGCCTAAAGTTAGTTGGAAAGAGAACTTACAGATGATAAAAATATATCTGTCTGATTAGATAAAAAGACAAATTCTAAAATCATCAAAAGGCTCCTGAAATGGAGAAAAACATTCCTTGCCCACCTTTAGAGATCACTGCTTCAGCTGAAACAATGAAAACCCCTGAGAGCATGATCAAAGTGTCTCCTCCGGCTCCTGGAGCTTTAAATAAAGGTATACAACAGCTGAACTGGAGCATACAATGTAAGTGCCGATGTTCATCTTTGTGTCAGGTGGAATGGTTGGCACCTGAGTATGCTGCTGTTTCATGAGGGGTGTGTGAACGTCTTTGGTCTGATGATTATTGAAAGAGCAAGTGCTGTGCTTTGGTCCTTCCAGGCTCTGACAGCTTTGTTCAGACAAGGAAGCATGTCTTTCACATGTCTTTCACAATAAGCTGCAGAGAGACTGGAGCATTGAATTTTCTCAGCAAAATCACCCTCTTGGCATCGAACCTCTGTGGCCAGCTCACATTAGCAATGGCTTAATGAGTGGTTTGTCAAAGGAGATTCTTGCACAAGGGGCCGTAGCAGACAGGGCTTTGTAACATGCCTAGGTCATGGTGTCTTAGTCTCTACCACCAGATTTGCTGGTGGTGTTTATTGGCTGATCCACATTGCTCTTTATACACCTATATTATGATAGCCAGCTGTGCTCTCCTAGCATTGGTCACTCTGGAAACTTTCCCCTGGCATGGTTCTTCCATTTCCACTTCTTGCAGCACCCTTTCTCTCCTGCTTTATGACAGTCTCCCTGCAGCCTTCAGTGAGGCAGGGGCGTCATGCTTTATAAATGTTTATCCTTAGCAGTATTTTGTTCTTATTCTCCTGTGCTAAATTAAATGGACTGCTGCATCACCATTCAAAGATAGGAGAAGGCAAAAGGTAAAAAAAAAAAAAAAAAAGCAAATGTGATGCACAAATTTCTTCCCCTGTTACAAGAATATGAATAAAAAGACCAGCTCTGTAAAGTATTCCTCAGCAGGAAAACAAACAAACAAACAAAAAAAAAAAAAAACAGAAGAGATTAAATTTCAGTAAGCTACCTTTGTATTTGAATGTGGTGTTTGCTGTATTTTCTTGAAGTGATATTAGTTGTTCTGCAAGCTATAAAGGAATTTTCAGCTGCTTTGTCTTGCTGTCTTTCATTGCTGTTTTTTAATTAAAGATTAAGGAATTAAATGAGCCAGGGATGCTGGGGTTACACAAGGATGAGAAAAGATCAGGCAGTCAAATCCACTGAGGTGCAATGGGGCACAGGCTGACTCCAGGATTATCGTACTCAATTATTATTTTTTCCAGTTTAAAGCATAAACATTAATGCATTTTAAGCATCCAGGTCAGGCTGACAAAATACTATTGTCTGAGAGGATTAGATTTGAAACACATTGGGAGCTACTTTATTAAGATTTTGGGTGTGATTTGCAAAAGACATTACAGCAGAAGGCTTCTTTCTGTTATACCATTTTGCACTGGGAATGGAGAAATTAATAATCAAACGAGAGATATACCTATTTGGAAGTGAACAGCTATTGTAAGGGCATAATTTTAACAGTATATCTGTTTATTAGGTAGATACATTTATAATGTTGATTGTTCTGTTTACAAACTGTGGCCACATTGTGTAATTTAGCTATAAGCTGCTGTATTTAACTGGGATGGGGAAGGAAATGAAGCTATCAACCATGGTTCTAATATTTTCAGGCATGGGACTCTACTTTTCCATTACTCTTGTAATGGATGCAGTTCTGAATTAATTTTTAGAACTGCCAGGAATAGCAGCATATTGGATTCTCTCGCTGTTTTATTTTATGTTCTGTGTCCCTGCAGTGCCTCTTGATTGCTACTCATTAGAAACAGGCTAGATTTCTGTTTACCAGAACAAAAATATTCCCTTTCCTCATCCTACCTTGCAATCCAAACTTTGCATTGGACTTAAAAAGATGCAAATCAAATATTTAAAAGTTTTAAAGACTGCATCTTCTACCATTTTAAGTCATGATGAGCCTTTAGTATGAGCTGGAAGGATTTTAAAATGTGATTCATATGCCATAGGCAACAGAACTGTGGTTATTCCTTTGCCTCATTTACTTTTATGGGAATAATAATAATATGTGTTTATCTGGAGTCAAATACCAACGTCCGTTTTATTTCCAGGATGTGATGGGAAAACGACTAGATAGGTGAAGTGCTCAGCTAGAGCGTGGGAGAGCCAGTCTGTTTCTGGCTCTGTTACAAAGGTATGGCTTTTGTCTTGCACAGGAATTATAATACAGTTCTTTGTAGACGATTAGTTTGGCATTAAGCCTGTACAGCTTAAGATGACCTCTCTTTCCTGCAAATCTCTGCAATTCACAGTAGTGTTGAGTCTGACAGAGCAAGGCTGATTGTAGATTATGTCTGTGTATCAGAGGTGTGTGTAGAGCACTTGGAGGGCTCTTGGGGAAATGGATTTCACCTGGCTGCATGTAGCTCACTGCTGGGGTGGGTGAATTTAATGCATGACTTGTGCCAGCAAACAAACTGCATGACTGGAGCATGGTTTTGTGCACATGAAGTTGGTAAGCATTCCTCTACAAAGACCAGCTATGGAACATGATGGATACCTATGGAAAAATACAGCAGTAGGGCCTGAGGCTGCTCTTCATGCAACAGAACTGAGGCATCTAATTTTGAAGATGTTGAGCTGTGTTGTTTGGACACTTGTACTGTAGTACCGCTTATAATGGATTTTGCAGAATATGCAGAAGGTCCAGGTCTACCATTTACATGTCTCTTTACAAACTCATAGGTGAAATGTTATTAAAATAGCATAAAGAGTGAAAAAACAGAGGGATCTCAGAAACTCTGGTATTTACTAATGTCAGGCCCCAAAAAAATGTGTTCAGGTTTGCAGAGCCTCAAGGGAAATATTTCTGTAGACCCATCCAGTCTTGGATCACTCTATAAGCATCAGGCTTTGGTCTCTGAATATCACTCCTTTTATACAGCTTGCTTAGAGTCCCCTGGGAACTGATCTGGATTTAACTAGTGGCCTGGCAGAGAAAACAATTAAATCCCAGTAGCAACTGTCTGAACCCAAATTGTGTCTTATATGCAACACTGTATAAATATCAACACAGGACTTTTATCTCATATATATAGATGGACAGAAATTACTTATCCCTGTAACTGCCAGGTGCTTGTTTGATAATCTAGCTAGAACATACGCTTTAATTAAAACAAATTTCAAAATTATTGTGGAAAATAATATGATGTTGTCATATTCCAATTCTTTACTTGGAGCTGAAGTGGAGTTGATGAGACTTTTTTTTTTTTTTTTTTTTAATGTGATTCTTTATGAAATTTCTAATAGTCAGTGTCTAGTGTTTATATAACAATATTCTCAGCTGATCGTACAGAAACTGAATCTTGCTTCCTTATTGCAGATACAAGAGAAGCAAGGTGGTGGAAAATGAAGCAAGGTCTCCACAGATGCCAGAAAGTCCGAACTGGGAACAATGTAATCTGGCCTCTGCCTCCTCCAGCAGCTCAGATCCTGTGCAGAGTAGAGGTGCTACCACAATGCAGACCAGCCAAATGTGAAAATACGATGAAGTTGAAAGGAAAATGTCAAAGCTCTTTTTGTTCTATCTGAGTTTCTCCTTCCTCTCTTTGAGTATTGTTACTGAGGCTCCACTGACAGCCACCTTTCCATAGCCAGAAGGGGTCATTCATGTAGATCTGCTTGAGTCACCACCACCTCCTTCTGAAAGCTCCTATTGATATAAAAAATTACCATGTTTGCTATTTGTGCTCCAAGTGATCATGTAATGAATAAACTTAATTGACCATTCTTTTATGTCACTTTGTATGATCTTTCAGTAATTCACTTAGCTGCTTGCATAACTCTCAAAATACACTGCAGATTGATACAATGCATAAAGGCAGCTTCTAGACAAATTTATGGACATCTTTCCATTGCATGAGTGATAGTCAAAAGCTTTGCAGTTAGACTTCAGAGCAAAAACAGTGATGCAGTGATGCTACAAGGATATGTTCCCACTCTTAATGCATTCTTTGTCCCTAGAGCTGCTCAGCAGCAGCCAAAGAAATATCTTCTTCATACCTGAGAAATAATAAAATGATATTAAGGCATATCACTGCCTTAGCCTTGTGAAACCCATTTTAAGTTCGCAGTGTAATTCTGAATAAGATGGACAGGATGAGGGATGCTTTAATTAGCATATAGATAGTTAAGCTCAATAAGTCTGGTTTCAGTGAAAAGATTGCAGTGCAGCAACATGTTTTAGTCACACACCATTATTTATTTATTTATTAAATTGACTTTTTTTTTTTTTTTTTTTATGAACCCAGAGGTAGAATATAAAACCTCTGTGCTTAGCACACAACCATTTATTTTTTAAACTTGACAGAAATAAATATTACAATCAAATCTATCTTAAGGATCACATCTGAGAACCAATATATCTAAATTTTGCATAGATCCTATCTGAGAACCAATATATCTAATATTTTGCACAGGTTTTGGTTGAGATAAACTTTCATACAGAAAACTGTTTAAAGATAGGTATGCTATATTAATATGACTATGACTTGCCAGCTTCATTTTATATGTATCTTATTATCCTTAAGGATCACAACATTCAAGTCTACTTTTACTGATGAAAGCAATTTTGTTTTGTTGTTTGGGTGTTAGCATTGTGACTTTACTGCTTGTATGTGTATTGCTTTTCATTTATTTGTTTATCTATTTAGTTAGTTAGCTTTTAAGGATGCCTGGTAGTAATATCTTCTTTATTTAAATCTCTGACACCTTATTTGTCTCACATTGATTTCTTTGCTGGCAAGGAAAGTGAAGGATGCTTCATGAATACCTCTGCACCCACATGCAGTTTCACTTTTACTACATAAAAAGGCATACATTGTTGGGCTTTGCAGCTACTTACACATTCATTTTACTTTCATTTTCTCCCCTTTTCCCTGTAAGCTTTCCTGTGAATGCTAATAAGATGGGTTCAGATATGGTGTGTGGACAGGATGCTTTTCTCAAATTTCTCATGGGTGAACAACCACTGTTTCTCATCATGACCCCTGCCTGGTGCAATCAAAATCCAGAATCATTCTGTTCTGCACGTTGATTGAATCCTCACATTCATGGCAGTGCTTGGCCACGAACTCTGCATTGCAATCTGAAGAAGGGTCACTCACTGATGTACTGAACCCTTCTGCTAGGCCTGCTAAGTGTAATTTATATGTTTCAACTCTTTCTCAGCCTGAATGCTGGAAAAGAAAGCCACAGGGATACCTGACAACTGGTGCTGTGATTCTCAGTGGGAGATTTCTCTGCTAATTAAAATTAATAATCAAAATTATGCTCTGTGGTATATTCATGATGTGAACATATATTCAGGATGTTGTGACATGAAGTGCTTGTTTTTTATGTATTGAATGTCTGTTCTCATTGTCTTGGTTACTTTATTTCTGAAATATAAGGTATTTAAAACATCACAGTTGCCATGTAAAATATACATATATATGTTTGAAATCAGTCCAGTTATGAGCATAAAGAGTAAGAAATTACACAACTGAGCTGAAAGAGCAGATCGCAAAGCTCCTATCGAGCGTACTGTCACTATTTCATGTTTGTTTTTTTTTTTTTTTCTTCCTTGACCCTCTCAATGAAGTTTTTTTTCCCAGTAATTTTGAAGGAAGCAAATCATTTCCCCAAGTCATATGTCCCCAAATATGTCTAGCTTTGAGAAAATTATATTTTCCTTAGCAGAGCAGTAACTGAAATTAAGCTGAAATTAGTGAGGTACAGCGTATGGCATGTTTTACACAAGGGAAAACTAGGTCAATGAATATTATGGCTTCTGGCCATCTACCTATAGACCTGTAGAAAAAAATATCATGGAAACCTCTGCAAACCTCATAGAAAAGATCCGTAAGCTGCCTTTCATAGCTCCTGCTATAAATCAGTATAAGAGAGGCCATGTCCTTGGTGGTTTCTGCAGCATTTTCTCCCTCTGCACAACAGCTTACACTAGAAGCTTCAAACTGTGACTAAAGAGTTGGGAAAGGCTGAACCAAAACCCATTCACTTTCATCATAATGTTTTTTTCTTTGCAGCAAACATGTTGTTCTGTTTTTGTTGTTGTTGTCATTTTTATTATTATTATTTTCACCTTCAGATTATGATTTGATCAGTCTCCAAAACGTGCCTATTGATGTGGGAAGGCAGCAACATAGTCTCCTGGACCTGAGTAGGACAGTTACTGGGGTATGGGCATGTGGCTGACAGAAGCAAAAGTGGAGCCTGCCAGGTGGACCCATCCGTATTTGTTTAGCTTTAAACCAATGAGTACTGGAGACCAAACAGGATTGTATCTTGAACAAGACTGATGATATGACTACATAGTCTCTTGCCTGTGGCACGAGTCCTTGATAAATCTGTGCTGAGGACCATTTTGAGTTTGCTTTGGTGAGAACTTGTCTAGTGGGGACTGTTAGCGTTAGGTCAGAGGTTGGACTCGATGATCTTGAGGTCTCTTCCAACCTAGAAATTCTGTGTGATTCTGTGAACATCTTGTGGAGCGAACTGTAGTTGTATTGTATGTATGAACATAGCAGAAGATGTGGACATAACATTTATAATCCACATAGGTTTTTACTGATACTTTCTTTTCTGGCATCTCACATATTAGCCATGAATTGAATTGGACTGTTAGTAACTTCAACAACTTTTCTGAGTCCTAGATCTGGATGCAATTAAATAATAATAATAATAATAATAATAATAATAATAATAATAATAATAATAATAATAATAATAATAATAATAATAATAATAATAATAATAATAATAATAATACATGAGTGACAAGATATTAATATTTTTTAAAAAAAAATCTGTTTTGTACAAAATATCCTGTGAAACACACATCTTTTATGGGAGAAACTATTTTCAAGTGTATTTACACACACATTTAGCCTAGCTCAGAAACAAAAGGGCTCTTCATGACTCACTCTTGCTGTTATGTTATATATAACAGCTTGCTTTAACTTTTTTTTTTTTAAATGATTTTCTTTATTCTTTTTTCACTTCATGCTCTTACTAAAGCATTTTTCTAGTAATGTCTCACAAAAAAATGTTCCCAATTCATGCAAAGTAAAGTCTGAGTAGACGGAAACCCTTGCTCTTGAAATTATAAAGTGGTATATACAGAAACATTGCAAATTTCCCACTTCATCAGACCTTCAGTTTTAAATCAAGGATAGTAATGAGGTTGATTTCTAGAGCAGGTAATTCTGACTATGAAGACAGCATCATAAGTCTCAGATTGATTGGCCTTGAATTTCTCATCACTACATATTGTATGATACTGCACATTTGAGCCATTTCTTTAATCACAGCATTTAAATCCAGAACACAACTATCCTAAAAGGTAAGAAAATTTAAATATCTTTTTTGGAAGTTATTTACACCTGTACTACCCAGCTGGGGTTATAAGGAAAGGTTTAACCAGAGGGAAATGGAATTTGCCATGAAGTGCTTCTGATCCTGCTTTGGAAGAATGGGGTTATGCAGATGAAGATAGGAGAAATAAGAAAGGAGTGTTGTTTTAAGAAGATGTTATTGTAGTATAAATACTTGGTAAAGGATGAATAAAGTGCTGGGTCAGCATTTCCACATATTGCAGTATCAAACCTGGAATTTGTGTTATATCAAGGTATTCTAAAAAAGAAGTTATCCTGATGGGTTTTATATCTATTGCTAAGAATCCCACACATAAACATGAAATTCTTATATTTAGAGGCTTATCACAGCAAACTCTCAATGCTGAAACGTTCTTTTTCACTGATGCACCACACTGGTCATAAATTCAGTCATTACCTGAATTCAGCCATTAGTCATGGCTCTTTGCTTTTCTTGTTCACATGAGTTAATAAGCTACATACTTAGGCAGGTTATTTTTCACAAAATAAATCAAAAAATCTGTCCCATCCTTTGCTAAGAGATGCAGTCTGTCAATGTCATGAAGGGCAATTATTTTGGTATTGATTCTGAAAAATTCAGATTGTGCACTTCAAAGGGTTAAACACTTTCTGTCTGTGCAACAGTTAGAGCTATGAAGTGTTGGAGTTGCTATAGAAACTGTGCATATTTGATTCAAGTGAAAGAATAAACAACCTCTTTTTATATCTCAAAGATAAATGAAATTTGGCCCTGGACTTTGTGTGAAGTTATTATAAATACTTTTAAATCACTCCAAAAAGAAAGATTTTCTGGGGAGGGGGAGGGAGAGAAGGAAAGGGGAGGGGAGAGGTGGGAAGAGGAAGAAAAAGAAAAAGAAAAAAAAAATCCTGAAGTAAACAATAAAACAAGGTTGAGAAAAGTCCATAGTGATGTCTCCTCCTGCTCCACAGAAGATCTCATAGGATCTGGTGTAACTCATAGGATCACAGTGGATCTGGAGCAGGATCCAGCACTTGGCAGGCTGTACCTTACAGCCAGGGCTCCTGCAGCTTGGGGTGATGCTGCCCCAGTGGAACTGGGGAGAGATGGTCAATGAGAAGCTCATGCAGCAAGCCCTGGCCTCCCGAGCTCATTGGAAAGCCTCTAATATGCCCTGTTGGTTCATTTGCTGTCCAAAGACTTCTTGAGACCCTTTTGTCAGGGTTTGTTTTGTGTGTACACACCGCAAACGCAAACAGACAGAAAACAAGAGACAATGCAATCGTTCTCAGCATCAATTTTTCCCTTTTATGCAGTGAAGAGGGAAGGGACCACCTTTCAAACTCTTGTCCCTCTGTACTTGCAGCCATCCCATGA